TAAAAATGATACTCAAAGATAAATGTAGTATGTTTTCTTAAATTTGGGAGAATATCCAAATGTCTTAAGCATATTTTCATCCCAGCAGCAAAGACCCCCAACACCCTTTCAAAATGAAAAATCAGAAATATGGGGTAATAAATAGGTCCCCTAAACACTAAGTATAGACTAGAAACATACCAAGACAAAGTACTCCTGCCATCACATGAATTCAGTTACCATCCACAAATACTTACAGGATTAATTATACACCCCTAACTTTGGAAAGTAAATCTTCAGGATACTGTAGAAAAACTTACTTAGCAAGTCACACACTGAATTTTCTGAGGTTGATCTGTTACGATATTGGGCAAATGACTTACATAAAATTGGGAGAAATAACACAAGGTAGGATGAAGTTTTTACTCCAGTTTCTAACCAACAATAGGTACTTACTATATAAAGGATGGTTCCTTTTTCCATTCTTACTACTTATAGCTCTTAAAATCAGTTTACTTTGAGGATAATTTAAAAGATTTCCTTCATCTGTAAATTTTTAAACCTCCTTGATACTGTCTTGCTAATTTTGTTTCTATTGCCAAAACATTTATAAGTGTAAGTTTAACACAGCCTTTCTGGGCCCTGAACTGATATTCTTCTAGTCTATTAAATGGTCTCTCATGGCAAACAAACAATCCCCAATCAATACTCTCTTGTCTTCTGGCAAGTATCCTCCACCCCCACCCAGATTCCCACCTGGACAAATCAAAACAAAAATCTCTAGTCCTGGAATCATAAGCTCAGAATAGCAAATGCAGCAAAGAATAAACTGCCCCCCACCTTGTGGTTAGAACACAGCCATTTTGGAAGATCAATAGTTTTTGTTTTTGTTTTTTTTTAAAACAAAACTAACTCTAACTCTTATAAGTAATCACAGTTTCTTGCTATTTATCCACAGTTGCTGAAAACTTAGTTCACACAAAAACCTGAACATGTTTACAGAAGCTTTATTCCTAATTGCCAAGGTGCCCTTCCATAGGTAAATGGAAAACTCACCTGCGCTACACCCAGACAATATGTTATTCAGAGCCAAAGAGAAATGAAATATCAAGCTATGAAAATACCTGGCAGAACCTTAATTGTATATTACTGAGCAGAAGCAGCCAATCCAAAAAAGCTACAGTGCATGATTCCAACTGTATGACATTCTGGAAAGGGAAAAACTAGGGAGACACTAATTATCAGTTATCAGTGGTTTGGGAAAGGGGTAGGGTTGAATAGGTACAGCATAGAAAATTTTTAGAGCAGTGAAAATATTGCATATTATAATTATGAACACATGCCATTGTACATTTATCCAGACCAAAGAATATACTACACCCCCCAAATCAATCTTAATATAAACTATGGGATTTGGGTGATTATGATGTGTCAATGAGGTGAATCAATTGCAACAAATGGGCCCATCTGGCAGGAGTACTGATGATGGGTGAGGCTATGCATTTGCAGGGACTGGAGTAAACGGAACATCTCTGTATCTTCTGCTTTGATTTTGCTGTGAACTACTCTAAAATTAACAGTAAAAAAAAAAAAAACAACAAAAAACAAAAAACACTGCTGGAGGTCAAGGGTAAATTAAAGAGGTCTCCTCATGAATACAGGCTTTAACTTCTTTGTACCCATTACTTTTTATCTCCAATGTTTCCTCTCTCCTAAATACTCTTGAGTTTTCTGACCTTGATGTTAGCAACTATGGTGTGTTTGAATGTTACAATTCCCCTAGAAAGAAGATGTTTGAAGTTGGCTGTTGTACAAGAATTCTTGGTAGTCAGTAACTAATTAAGATAAAAAAGGCAGGCTGGTAGAATGGCTCAAACAGTAAAAGAGCCTGCCTAGCAAGAGTGAGGCCCTGAGTTCAAACTCCGGTACCACCAGAAAAAAAAAGACAAGAAAGGAATCCTTATAATATAATGTTAGTATAAATTAGCATTTTAAAATCACTTGAAAATACACTATATGGAAATAAACTAAAGCATTGTTTATTTATGACATATTTACATACTTACAAAATTGATTATATCCAGTATGTTGTTGTGCATAACATCACAAAACAGACACATATCCTGGGAGTAAAAAAATCCACATTTTAAAATAATTTATGCTTAACGAAACGTTTAAAACACAGAATATTATCAATTTAGCCTCATAAATCACAAAGTCCTGTTTAGATTTTTTTCTAGCCAAAGAACACAGTAAATCCAACATGTTAAGTAATTTAGTTAACCCTGAGTAACTGCTAATTTGCATAATTCTGAATAAAGGTACACTATACATGTTCACCTGTACTTTCATACACTTACTATCACACTTTTTGTCTCTACTGAACAACTGAGGAGCAAAGAATGGGAAAGCAATGATGACAAGAGAATCAGAAGAGGAAATTACCAGCATCACTGAAAACTTCTCCTACTTCAGAAGTCTGCAGCACAGTTTAAGTCTAGGGCTGCCACCCAAAACTTAACAGGGGCCTGGGGTGTGGCTCAGTGGTAGAGCATTTGCCTAGCATGTACAAGGTCCTGGGTTCCATCCCCAGACCTGTGACAAAAAATAAACAAAAAACTGAATATAAGGAGGATCTCAGAATTGAATCATCTGAGCAATAATCTAAGGTTAATGCTAAATTACTTTTCCTATATTTTTCCTGTTGTTGTCTTACAAAGTTAATCAGTTTACAAGCTTATAAAATTCAATGATTTGGAGTAAAATATACAAAATATAAAATTTAATAATCTGGAGCTCTTCAAAAGAAAAACACTAAAGATAACCACAACAGTGGTAAATGAACTAGGTTAAATAGGAGTAATCCAAAGACGCTTGAGAAAAAATAAAAGCAAATAGCCATCAACCCATACCCCCTTCCCCCCCAGCTCCAATGCCAACATGGGGGTCATAAGGAAATGGGCAGGAAAAGAAAAGAACATGTGAGAGCTGAAGGGCTGGCCATTAGATGATGGGCACATCTAATGCCTCGATACCACCAAGGCCACCTGGCCAACCTGCCCTGAGACTTTGAGCTACATTTCTTGCTCCTACTGTAAAAGGGGAATCCAAGGAGAACAAAGTAAGAGGTTTGGAAAGCTGAGTATGTGAAATTGGTCATGTTCTGATGACTTTCAAAGAGAACTCTGGGCTAAAAAAATAATGAGACCAAATTACATCAAGTATTTCCCTCTTCCATCTGCCCTTCACACTACTCACCCACTTATGTTGCTCCAAACAGCAGAAGCCCACCAGGTTACCAGGGGCAGAAAAATTACCAAGCTTCAACCAAGTCATGGCAGCATTCTGCCACTGTTATTTGGGGATTCAAGGTAAACCGTCACCCAGTGAGATATCAATGTTCACTTATGATCCCATTAGAACAACACTCAAAAACATCAAATAAGATATTGAAGAATTGGTTAAAAAAGGGAAAGAAAAACTCAGCTATTTCTTGGGAATGGTAAAATTTCCCTGTAATAGGAAGGAAAGTAGCAAAAACATTTTATGTACGTCCATACTTGCCTTCTGTCTGTGATAAAACACTAAGCTTTTGTCACCTGGCCAAGGCCCTGATAAAATACTGCTAGAAGAGAAAGGCAAATGGTAGAGAAAGTCTTCTGTTCTTATTCATGAAGAAGGAATAAAGTGTGCTGGCCCTATCATCCCTGGACAAAGGTGCACCAAAGCAACTGGCTACATAACATGTCCATCTCTTACTATCCAAATGACACAGAGGTCTGAATTTCACCATCATTATACAATGCTTGGAAATGAATACACATTACAGTTTCAAAATTGAAACTTCATTCATATCCTCATATAAAAACTAGCATAAATGAGTTACTGGAAATAACATTAATACAAAGTGCACCTTCCATGTAAAAACAGTAAGACAAGAGCTTCAACAACTTTTATGCAATTGCCAGATTGTGCTAATTCTTTTACATCTAAACAACTGTAAAGAAGAGTAAATGAAAATTAAATTAGTTATACATGAAACTACCTTCAGAAAGCTACTTGAACTTGCATATATAGAATTCCACTGTATAAGAAAAAAATTTACTTAATTTTTTGACTTATATAAATCCTAAAATGGTGAAATATATTATTTGAGGGAGGAAAAAGCTTTCACTAAATAAACATAATGGACTAAATAAACCAAATTGAATACAAAATAGCTTCTTTGAAGATGTCCGTAAAAAATAAAGGCAGAATGCCACAAAGTTAGAAAAGTAATGCTTGAGTCAAACTAACAAGCAACCTTAATTAAAAGAAAAGGCATAGAATCCCATAAGCAACAAAGTAATTTGCTCTCAAAATTTCTCTTTTATGGTTTGGAGAATATGAGTGGAAGCAGGAACAATGGCTGCTGTTAAGAGTTTATTCTTGAAAGAACTGAAATATAGTATTATACAAAAATAACATTAATATCTCTGATCTAAAATATATTTGGATGATTCTCCCCTTTAGTTGTGATACAGCAACGAAAAAATAAAGTGAATCCCTAATGTTCGTAATATAAATCTGTAAAAATGCCAAAAATTATTTTTAAAAAGAAACAAACATAATTTTCAGACTATACAGGTATATTACCAAAAACAGATGATCAGACCTTGGTTATTTTGGCCCATATTCTATAAACATGCAGAGAAATGTGCAATGTCTCTCTATGGGTGTCTGTCTTACAATAGTTTTGAGCACACTATCCACCATCAGACCTGGAATCATGTGTACATACAAAAAGAAAAAAAATGCTTTTAAAGAGTATTTAACAAACATGTTCCTTAATTTCACTATGTCAAAAAGCAAACAAAATAATCAAGTACATATCATAAAATTAAATGTGTTTGCATAAGACTTTCCACTTTATAAATTTGGTATATTAAATTGTGCTATAAATATATTTGTATCTTTTGTTTTTTGAGAACTATGACTATCATATGATTATAAAAAGGATTTATATCTTTGCTTCTAATGGGATGACACCATGCCTTTATTAAAAGGAAAAAAAAAAACTGCGGTCTACAGGAAAATTACAAAATCTGCTGGATTCATTGAAGGTGTTGAATTAAGAAGGTGCAGTATCTTCTTTAGCATGAAGTTGACAGGGAGGGACAGTCTCCGTACCCGGGACAGGCCACCTTCACAGGGTCCTCGGTGGAAGGCGCTGTTTATACATGCCTGCCGCGGCCTTGGCTGCACTGTAGATTATCTGTCGACGAGACATGCCAGTGAAAGCCAGGTGCCAATCAGTCCGGCTGACGTTCACTAAACTCTTTTCCAGGACTTCACCTACTGTCACCAAAAGGCCTGACCACCTCAGATTATAGTCCTGGGGGGTTAGACTTTGAGCCTATGGAAAAATGAAACCCGTATTACTCATAGTACATTAAAAACACCATTGGAACTAGCCATATTAAAAATAAGAACACCTCAAAGTCTTGATTCAGATTACTTTTAACACAGATTATGATAAATCCTGAGAAACATGGCTCCCAACGGTATAAAGTTACAAGACTACAAAAAAGTCAAAATAATTTTACACACATCTACTCTGTTAAAAAAAAAATCCCCATTATGCTCATTTTCCTTTTGTTCAAATATAATCTAAGTCTTTTCTTTTTATTTATTTATCTTTTTTTTTTTTGTGGTGCTGGGGATTGAACCCAGGGCCTTACACAAGTCTAAATTGCAAATCTATCAACTATTTTTTCACAGAACTCAAAGGGCTTGATTTTAGCTCCATATTCAGGGTCACTTCAGATTAATAATAGGGTTAGTGGTAAAACTATCTTTTTATAATCATAAAATTCCAACCAGAAAGAGACAGATTGCATAGTAAGGCCTTAGCCTGTTTAAGAGTTGCTTATCAGTTTGAGAAAGTATCCCCAGATTAACATGTCGGTAAGTTAATAACACCACATAATGTTCAGTAGGAACAGCATCAACCACTGCCACTGCTACATCCACTTGCATGTGCTTCCGCTCAATCACTTGTTCACCCACACAGGAAGGAAGTAAGATATCTACATGGAGACTATCTACATCTATAACCATTCCCAAATATGCAGGCAGGGTATTAAAATCACCTCAGGGGCTCTTCCCCACAGTAGTTTCTCATGACCCAACTAGGATAACCACATTGGGAACTCCATGGTTTGTTCCAAGAGAAATAGTGTAATATATAAAATATCTGAGTAATCTGATAGAAACAGTACAGCATTTGGGAACCAATACTCTAGTATTTGCTTTGAAAATGTACACTGTACTGCCAGTAGTTCACTATATTTCAAAGATCACAGCAGAGAAATTACTAAGGATGTTAGAGACACCGTGAAGCTGTACGCCTCAAACTACTAACTGCATACAAATCCCTACAGTCTTGTTAAAATGCAGATCCTGGCTCTACAACTTTGGGTAGGGCTGAGAGGCTGCATTTTTAAATCAAATTTTCAGGTGACATTTATGATGCTGGACCAAGGATCACATCTCTGAGTGATCTGATATTATCAAAACTCTAGAACAACTGGGTTTTTTAATGGAGGAAGGGAAGGAATCATTTATTCTTAACATAAATTACATGAAAATTTTTTCCAGATTCTTACTACTATACATATACTATATCATCAGTATTTAAGTACTGATGATAGTAACTCCTTGAAGGTTTGATTTCTGTTCCACTACATTACAGAGTTCTACTAAAACAGAACAGACATAAAACCTTTCAGAATGGATAAAAAGAAACAGGGAGAGGAGTTTAAGTAGAAATAAAAGGAAGGCATTTCAATTGTACTCAGTTCTTTATCTTCTGAAACCACCTGACCAAAAAAAAAAAAAAAAAGAAAAAAGAAAGACAACAGAATGAAAAGCAAACAATAGTCTTTGAAGTAACACTATTTAGTTACCCATGTTAACAGTTTACTGCATATCTTTTGGTGAGGTAAAGATCAGGAGGCTTGTGGTTCGAGGCCAGCCTGGGCAGAAAGTTCATAAGACCCTATCTCAATTAATGACTGAGCACAGTGGTGCACACCTGTCATCACAGCTACATCAGGAAGCACATGTAGGAGGACTGCAGTCCACGTGGGTCAAGTACGAAGACCTTGTCTCAAAAAGTAACCAACACAAAAAGAGCTGGTAGAGTGGTTCAAGTGGTAGAGTATCTGCCTCACCAGTATGAGGCCCTGAGTTCAACCCCAGTACCACTAAAAAACAGTAATAATTAATTACAAAGGTTTTTAATGCTTTATCATTAGATCTGAGGTTTGCTTTATCTACCACACACACCCCCTTCTATTTCTAATTAGCTAAGACTATCTAACAGTATGTTTGTTATTTCTAGCAAATATTTTCAACTCTATCTAAATCTTTTTTCCTCTTTAGTTCATGCATGTATTGAACTTCATAACTGATCTGCTATTGGTGATCCATTCTTGAAGACAATTATTTCATGGTCAGGATACAATGTTTTTCTAATATATTTCTGAACTTTATTAATTTTACCAACAATCTTGGCATTTATTTCTTAAGTAATTCAGATTAAAATTTTCTTTAGGGTTAAGAGTCATACAGTCCCACAGGATGATCTGGAAAACTTTCTACCTCTATTTTTTGGTATTCTATGCAGCATGAGAACCACCTGCTCCTTGAATAGTCTGTAGATCTTACAGCACCACTAGTGACATTTTTGGTTAGATGGAGCTCTTTCACTGAAATGCTTCGGTAAGGTATTTAGACTAAATCATATGAAACTGACAATATTGACTGTTTTTGACTATCAAAGAGAGCAACTTTGAATCAATAGTAAAATTCATAATTTTGCTATAGAATCTACCATTTTATGTATGTTTTAAAATTTATTGATATATCATTATGTACGGTATTTGCTTACAATCTTTTAATCACCTTAATATGGGAGTGAGTTTAATATTAACACCTATAAAAAAGGTTTCCTTGAATTTCTGAAAAGAAATGATATAAACATTTCAGTAAAATCTCAAAAATCCAAGCATCAATTATACTATACTTTCTAAACTGTGACCCTCTAAAAGGGCCACTGGCTGCTTAACAATTTTATGAACATATAGGCCAAATTTATATGTATCTACATATGTGCATTTTCTTTGGAGAGAACCCAACAGCTTTGTCAGTCTCAAGCATCTACAAGTCCCAAACAATTTTAAGACAGAAAAAAGTCAGCAAAAATATATTTAATAGTATAGAAGTTCCAATGTAAATATACATCTGGGTTCCTTTTTATTGAGTAGAGAAAATTTATATTTAAATACAGAGGAATAAGAGTCACTGTATTCTTCTGGAAACTAAGAGGATAAAGGTACACTGTTAGGTCCAATTTCTAGGCCAAATTTCTAATATTGGCTTGTTACTAAAGATGAACAACTAAGAAGGAAGATTTCACCAAAGAAAAGGGAAATGGAGACAAGAGTGGAACTAAATATATAAGATGAAGGGGAAAGTAAATGAGAGGCAGACACAACACAGGTTGAAAAGGTAAACCTTCTGACCTCAGGTAGGAAATAGTATAAAAACAAATAAAAATGAAGAAAATTAACAACTAGCCATATTAATCAATGTATTACCTTTCCAAAGACAGTTGGAAAACAAAAGCAGGGAGATACCCAAGCATGGAAGAACCAGGAAATTAAAAAGCAAAGAAAAAGGCTAAAACAGAAAAAAGACTCACAAAATTGAGAATAAATTTCTAACAAAAAACATAGCACAAATTTTTACTGTGAAGATGACATTGTAAGTTTCTCTGGAGCATAATGAAAAACAAAGGAGAAAACCAACCTGTTGCACAAACTCTAAAGGCACTGGTGTGGCCTGAGTAAACGTTTCCAGGTGAATGCCATGCACAGGATCTTCCACCACCAAGCAACCAACATCAAACCACCTGCAGCAGAGCATACTAGTATCATACTGTGTATATGCTAAATCACAGCAATAGTGAAAAGACAAAAAATGGAAAAGCCAAGTACTACTTCAGATAAAACATCAGCAGATTTCAAGAGGGAAATGTTTTTCTAATTGGTTCACAAGAGATTAACCCATAAAAAAATATAAAATGACTCTATTGTCTTAATTCCAAGAGAAAACTAATGGGGAATAACAACAAAGAAAAATGACTTAAAACTACTTACCATGGAGCGTTTCTTTTCTTGCTAAGATGGAGAATAACAGAAGTGGGGGTACCCAAATACGCAAGAGACAATTTATAGTCATTTGGCTATGCAAATGAGTGTACTCAATAGTACTCGTGAGTACGATTCTTAAACATTACTTGCTACAATGAGAAATTTCATATTACCAACTCTATAGTTAACATGTACCCATCCAGCAACATTGCTAGCAAATTAAAAAGTAAACTCATTCAGAGGAAATAGTGACATATACTCTCCTCATGAATGCATAATCAATCCTTCTAATGAGTTTTTGAATTGTTCACAATGAATTAGGCTTTGAAAACATTCTCATGAAACCAAGGAAATTCTTCCACTTAAAGACACTTACAAACTATAAAAAGTGAGATACTTTTAAATTCGCTTAAGAGAAGACAACTGTGACCCCCACCACATTTCAGCAAGAAGATGCCCTGAAACCATGAATTTAAACAACAGGAGCATATGGAACAGGAACATGTCCAACACTTCTATTTTTAAAAAAATACACAGTGCAATGAAACATAAAATGGATTGGGAAACGTTTATTTATAAATTCAGAAAAACAACCAAGTAACAACTCTGCTAAATATTACAATGGTAATTTGTAATATCTGTAGTATTCATATATTAAAACTGTTTCAAATAAGAGCATTAAATAATAACACTTCTTATATCTGGTATACTAATCTATATTTTGTATTTTGCTATGACAATTTTTCTCAGTCAAGAAAATGTATTTGTGAAGCCCAAGCTCCCTTAGCTAAGTTTTCTTTTGCATTGTTTTGAATGATTTGTGTACAATCCCTATCATGACTCATGTACTGACCAGACTGTTATGCCTGCATGGCCTGTAAAGCAGAACCACCTACAGTATGAACAGTGTGTTTTATCACACTAGTGAATACACATTAGAGCTCTAAGGTCCCCTTTTTTCCAAAACACCACATTTAACTGAACATGTCAAACTGGACATCAGCTTTCCCATTCTCTTCAACTCAAGGTAAAACTGCAACCACTGTCATCCTTACCAAATGCTCTTCCATGTCTACCCCTCAGGTTTGGGCTAGGGAAACTCAGTTCTTCCAACCCGGAAGGGAGAAGAGTGGTCACAGAGACTGACCACACTCAAGGACAGTCAGTACGGATTCTCATGTCCCTCTGTGGCTGGTAAATAAGGTGGAGTTGCCAAGCATATTTGACTTGAAGGACTTGTAAGAACAATTGTGGTTCCAGGACACTTAGATTTCATGTAGTAGAAAAAATTTCACCAAAAGTCTGGGGCACTGTCAATTTCTATTTTACCACAGAAGACTCTTACCGTTACCAACTAATTCACAGAATAAAGGGCACAGGCAATGCATTTTAGGGACAGTTAACTACACTTAGCACATTACCAAGATTTTCTTTTAAACCCAAGGCCTTTTTTTTTTCTTGGCAAGGCAAAATTTACTTCTGCAGAAGGGTGTGCAGGCATATGGGCACAGCACGCACAGAGGGGCAGGCAGTCTGTCCCTCCTTATATTCCTGACACAACTGACCCTACCTCTTGACCTGGATTGGTCCAGATCAAAAGTTTCCAATTGTCTCGACTGGCTGAAATTCTACACTAACTGAGGGAGGGGTTAAGACACACAGCATGGTAGGCAATTTTGCCAGGCAAAGGGGCTGAGCAAGAATCTGGAAGGAGAATCTGGGACTACAGACAATGTAGGTAATTAAAATGGCAACACACACTTTGACAGAAAAGACTGCTTTCCACAATTCTCCCCCCTTTAATTTATATTCTTTTCTTTAAACTCATTTAACATTAATTGACTTTCTATTTCAGCTGTGCTTAACAACAGCTGGTGTGGCACAGGAGTTTGTTTAGTTAGAGCAGTTTCTATGAGCCTATAGTCAATGCTGGTGCACAGGTCATGACCCCAAATACATCAATGAGGGATGTTAGAATTGAGGCTATTACTCCTTTCCATTTTCCAAACCACTGCTCTGGACAGTTGGTCATTCATTTATCCCTGAGTTCTCGCCAGTTGTTTGACAGGGCTGTCAGGCCTTGGAGAGCCTTGGTTACAGTCCCATCAAGAGCTGTGTTGTTGGGGATGAATGTGCAACATTCACCCCCGCAATCAGGACACATACCCGCCTCTTTTCTGTCAGAATCATGTCCAGAGCCATCTGGTTTTCCCATGTCATCCTACTGGTGGGGCCTAGTTGTTCTTCAATTCCCTTCACTGTATCCCTATCATAATTGACAAATTTCTATTGGTTATAATAGACATAGTTAATCCAATCTACATTCTTATTGATAGTGGACTACCAGAATAGTATTGATTCAAATCCTGCTGCTATTTGATTTTTTGCTTTGAATTTATCAGGGACTCCTTGTGGGACCCCAATGGTATCTATGTAGACAAGGTTTGGAAAGATCTGAAACCCAAGGCCTCTTGTGTATGCCTCCAATCCTTTTGACATAGGGTCTTGCTAACTTTGCCCAGAATGGCCTTGAATTAGTGATCTTTCTGCCTCCGCCTCCCGAGTAACTGGGATTACAGACATATACCATCATACCCAGCTCATCATCTAAGATTTTCTGGATTGCTCTTCCTGACTGCCATTTTCTAACCTCAGTTCTAAGCATTTCCTTGACTTTATCTTCTGTGCATTTACTTTCCACAGGAGCACCACAAAGAGAAGCAGCACAGCAGGAACTAGCAAGTGTCTGGGATTCTGGTTTTACTCTCAGTTGTCTTGCTCTCTCTTTCCACTCTGTACTATCGTAAGTCTTTTGTCCTCTCTCCTTCTTAATCATTCTAGTAGTCATCAACAGGCCTCCTAAATACTATTTAGCATTCCTGATTTTTTGTCATATTCTATTCTCTTGGTTAAAAGCTACTTGATGGGAAAATGCCACATCTAGGTAGGATGGAGGAGTTTATAGCAGGCTGACACTCCCAATGAAAAGCTAAGTGAGCAATCATACATTCAGAGGCATCAAAGCTGTAGAAGCAGGAAGGACCAAAAAAAGGGAGGGGGCACACAACCTTTCACAGATAAGACATAATCCCTTCAAATGACCCTTAGTACAACCTAGACTTGACTGATTGAGTCTGTGACCCAGATGTTGGAATTTGTAGGAAAAGATTTTAAAAATAACTATTATTCATATGTCCAAGAAAAGAGGGGTAAGGATAGTCAAAAGATGAAGAGATGGTAATAACTGAACCTACTTTGAAAAAAGAATTCAACATTTGACTAACAATAAACTGTACATAGCAGAAGGCAAGATTAGTGAATCTGAAGTCAGGTGAACAAAAACTGTCCAAACTGAGGAACAAAGAGAAAAAAACAGTCAGGGGATAAAAGTAACAACATGGAAAATGTGAGAACTGTCAAGAGTTGAACAAGCATGTAATCAGAATTCCACAGAGAGAAGAGGAAACGAGCAAGAAGCAATTCTTGAAGGATTTTCCCAAACTGATGAAAGACATCAAAGAATTAAGAAGCTCAAAGAATCCACATTAATTATAAAAGCATACAAGCCAACAACACAACCATACCTAAGCACACCATAGTAAAACTGCAGATAAAATGACAGAGAAAGTTTTAAAAGCAGTTAGAGAAAACAGCATATTATCTTTACAGAAATGATAACATAAATAGCTGACTTAACGGAAATGACATTTTTAAAGTGCTGAGAGAAAAAAATTTCCAACCTAGACTTCTATATCCAGCAAAAATAAAGGGGAATTAAAGCACTTTCAGACATACAGAAGCAGAGAGAATTCAAAATGAGCAACCCTACATTATAATGTAGTATCAAAGGGAGTACTTAGGTAAAAAGTGATTCCAGTCAGAAACACAAAAAATGCAGGAAGGAATTAAGAGGATGACCATAAATGGATTAACAACTGCACAGAACAATACTAGTGTAATGCCCAAGGAGTTTAAAAGAAATTTGACAATAACACTTTAAGAGGTGAAAACAAGGTGAATAGTATTAAAGGTGGTTCCAGGAGTTGGTGCAGTGGCTACATCTATAATCCCAGAAGATGGAGATCTGGAGGATCATGGCTTGAGGACAAATAGTTAGAAACCCCACCTCAACGAACCAGCTGGGTATAGTGGCGTGAATCTGCAATCCCAGCTACAAGGGAGTCATAGGTAAGAGGACTGAGGTCTAACACCAGTCCAGGGGAAAAAAAGAGACCCTATTTGAAAAATAACTAAAGCAAAAGAGAGCTAGGGTATGACTCAAGTGATAGAATGCCTGCCTAGTAAGCATAAGGTCCTGAGTTCAAACTCCAATACCATAAAAAAAAAGTGATTCCTATATTATGTCATAACTTTTATTGTAATACATTTAAAAAACACACTGTAATCTCTAAAGTAACCATTAAATGAATAAAGGGACTAAATCAAGTAATAATCATTGACGGTTCCTCAGTGCTCACATAGAAAGTTCACACTCTTCAGCATGGAACGCAAAGCTCTTCATAAGCTGCCCCCACACCACTCCTTCATTTTCTACTCAATAAACCTTCAGGCCAGCTGACACAATCCCTAACCAAGAATGCCTCTTACTGACCTTCAGAATGACCTACCTCATTCTTCCACCTATCCAAGTTTTACCACCTCTTCAAAATACAACTTTGAACAGCCATTCATGAATTTCATGTGGCACTACCTCTACTGAGTTATCCCCACTGATATGTCATACATTTCCTAGCAGTCAAAGTCATAGTACTTTTACAATTATTGTTTCAAGCTGATTCATCTGTGCAGGTATCTTCTTTCACCTGACCTATAATAACCCCTGGAAGATTGAGGATATTACAGTTACAAAGTCCTAGGCACAATTCAATATCGAATACACAAAAAATAAGGAAAACGAGAACAAAACCACCATACATTTACAAAAGAAGATAAATTTCACCAAAGGGAAGTTGTTTTAGTATAAAACAACTCAGTATATCCAAAAAGATTTTCCCACTAAAAAAAGACATCTACTAAAAATATAAAGCTCTCGTGAAGCACTGGTGACTCACACACGCCTGCAATCCTAGCGAGTCAGGAGGCTGAGATCAGGAAGCTCTCGGTTTGAGGCCAGTCCAGGCAAATAGTTCGTGAGACCCCTATCTCCAAAATAACCAGAGCAAAACGGACTGGAAGTGTGGCTCAAGTGATAGAGCACCTGCCTAGCAAGCATGAAGCCCTGAGTTCAAACCCCAGCCCCACCAAAAACAAACAAACAAAAAAGAATATGCATACACATACTTACAGAGCCCTCAAAAACAACAACGAATTCTGTCTGAAGGGTTTTCTGAATAAAACATTAGAGAATTCTCAGCAGAAACTCACAACTTTGTGACTGCTATCCAGCCGTTGTGTCCACACTTTCCATTACTATGGGTAGCTGTGTGAAGGACTGTGTTTGTGACCCATGGTCAATCCTATCTGAGTCAGTACACCAGTGTATCATCTGTGATTTAGTGCTACTATGTAGATTATCAGCACAATTCTAGATAACAGGCATTACTCTCTCTACTGCAGAATTACATGAGAAGTGCCACTACCCAATCTGGGATATGGCTAACTAGGTGACAGAGGCAGCATCAGAACAGACTTTTCTCACTGGTTTTTGAAAACAGGAGATACTTTTTGCTAGGTATTCAGTATGAACTCCCTGACCCAATTATATTTTGCCTTGAAGAGAAACAGTGAGGCTCTTACTTGTCAGGTAGCAACTCCGCAATGAAGTTTTCCACTGATACAGCAGTCTGCTTCTCATGGATCACTCCAGTTCGACGTAAGCTATCTATGCGTTCCTGGGCACCCTAAACAACAGCATAGGTTGGAATATAAATAGTGTAAATATGGTAGCATCAAGTCTAAAATACTAAAATAATGGGGTAGTTGTTTATTTAAAAAGATATATAACAGATAAGAAGGAACTTAAATCTTTACAGTGAATACTGTAAATATGCCTCACTCATTCCTCTCAGGAGGTAGTTATGGCTACATTTAGGTTAAAAAGCAGCTTAAACACATATAATTCAGTAAAAACTACTAGGGGATTATTGGGATGTTCATCTTCTACTCTTTGAAGGTGTCATCTGAGCTATGTAGGACAACAAAATATTCCTATGTTGTTTAAAAACTAATGAGGAAGCACACTGTCCACATGGTCAGCTATCTAAATTCATTTTCCTTTGCCTTACTAAAACTACATCAACTGTCCCTCTCATCTTAAATGTTACATATTTGCCCCTTCTTTGTGTTCCCAGTGACAAAGTCATACTCCGGGACTTGGTCATCTTTCTGAAGACCTGCAACCTTGGCACCCACACTTCTGTTCTTACTGCCAGTCTTCCCCATCCTGATCAAGTTCTCACCCTGACCTCCAAAGCCACACGTTCTAAAAGCCAACTACAACAATGTCAAGTTCTAACTCCCAGATGCAATCAGCTTTTGGTTGAGAATTCCCACATCTATTAACTCTTCCCAATATGGAAAAGCACACTCAGTCTGAGGCATAAGATCTGTTCCAGTCTTTCAAGTAACACTTATATATATATTTATATATAATATAAATGCTTGTGATTTACCTTATGTGCAACTGGCTTAGAGTACCATTATTGTGGTTACATACTTGTCATATTTACTTTACCTACTTACCATCCTTTTTTTTTTCCCCATTTCCAGATTAGACCAAACTTAAGTCCTATGGACATCAGTTAGCTTTGTTGTATTTTATAAAAAACAAACCCTACCACCACAAAAAGCATTCCTGGAAATGCAAACTACATGGCAAATTCAAGAGAAACCCAAGGGAAGTCAGAACATTTCAAAGTGCATGTGTTTGTGGCAGCACTATTCTCTTAAGGACAGACTATCATGAAATGTAAAAAGGCAGGAAACATGATTTGATTTGTATTATATGTAACATATTACATTTAGATATAGATAAATGCCACCTAACATCCCCAGATTCAGAAAAGTAAACTTACAGTGTGTATGTGTGTAAAAGAAAGAGCTTCATATTCTCTTAAAGTCTAAATTAACTAAAAAGCACCTCAAATCCATGCACCACTATCTAGAACTGGTATGGGATTATGTTTAATTACTAATTATAACCAATATACCAGCCTTTTCCCTCAATGAAATATGCTATGCCAAGTGCTCCATGCTAGTGCTTTACATGTGTTATATGAGAACAGGTAAAGTATCTGTGTGCCTGGCTCATGGGATGCACTCAATAAAAGAAAGCTACCATAGATCTTTTATATAAAACATCAGATGCATTTCTCCTTAAATGTAAATATAGGTGATTCTTGTTGTAGCGGATAATCGTGATTATCAACTTGAGTGATTGAGAAGCACCTAGGAGTTCAGGGAAGTCCGGGTGTGTTTATCTTTGAGGGTGTTTCCAGAGAGGAATAGTTAAGGGAAAGGACTGCCCCCAGGATGGGTGGTGCCACTGCATAGGTTAGCAGCCCAGAGGAATAAAAGGAGAAAAAGAGAAGGTTCAGAGTGCTTGCTGGACACCAGGAAGCCACACCCTCTCTATCATGATGAGCTGAAACCTCGGAAACTATGAGACAAAATAAATCTTTCCTCCCTTTAAGTAGTTTTTCCTCAGGTGTTTGCCACAGTAACAGAAAAAGTGACTCACATACTCATTATTTGTGGATTCTGTATTGGTGAAAGTGACTATTCACTAAAATTTACTTGTAATCTCAAAATTAGGCATGCACAGAGCTACAAGAAATTTTAAGTTGTCTGATATGCACATTTCCAGATAGGTCAAACATGGTGATACTCCTGTCTTCTTATTCCATCTTGCATACTGTAAAGAAGTGGCTTTTTGTCTACTTAGAACCAGGGTTTTTTGGTTTTTTATTTTACATTTTTATGCTGTTGAAGATTTCACTGCTTAAAATAGCCCCAAGTATTGTGTTAAAGTGTTGTCTAGTGTTTCTAAGCACAAGAAGGCTGTGAAATACTAGAAGGCTGTGAGTATACCTTCCTTATGCATAAGTGCTAAGTTAACTTCATTCAAGCATGAGTTACAGCATTGTTGGCTACAAGAGTTTAATATAATACACTCCTCTCAAAAAATTACATACATATACATACAAGATGCATACAGACAGAAAAACACATCAAACAATGCTAAATACTAATACATTTCAAAATCACTGTGGTCAGAAGCCCACAGGGATCTAATCTTACATTTCCCCTGGAAGCAAAGGTACAGTGGTCACTAATTCAGTGTCTGGGGAAACATCATAGAAAGTAACTGTGGCAAAAATAAGACTATCTGTCTTGCAAGCAAGATTTCTTGATGGATTAGAAGTGAAGGAGAAAAGTTAGGGATGCCTCTAAGATTTCTCGCCTGAAAGTGGAAGGATAGGGCTGACATCAGGGCAGCTGGAGAGGGGAAGGAACAAGCCTAGAGGAAAGAAAAGCAGCTTAGTCTACACATACTAAGTTTAATTATATATGGTAACTTTTAAGTAAGTCAAGAGTTTAAAGAAAGCTTTCAGTGAAAATGTAAAAATGGAACTGTGTGTCAGTGCATCTGTGATGTTTAAAGCTGAGGATGGCAGACTGCCAGAGGAGTGACTAGAAAAGGGGACAAAGGTGGGGGGGAGGAGAACAGGAACCAGCATGTGAGGAACAGAAGCTGCGAAAATCAAGTGAACATAGGAAATAGCCAAGCCAAGGGTGGGTACCCAGGGAGTCAAGTTAAAACAAACAAACAAACAAAAAAAAAAAACAACATTGAAAAGAATGAGTGATCAACTGTCTGGAAAGCCAATGATATGTCAAATAAGATGGAGAATCATGGTGACCATAATGCACTCTCAGTGAGTAGTGGAGGTGAAAGTCTGATTGGGGTGGGCAATTGCAAACAATTAAAGAGAAAAATGCTGGCAACTCCTGAGGGACTTTTCCTAAAAAAGAAGCAAAATAAGGTAATAGGTGATAGCAGAAGTAAGGTAAAAGAATTTCTTGGGTTTCCGTTGGCTTTTTTTTTCTCATTAACTTTTTTATTAATTTATTTAAGGTTGTGCCTTTTCTAGGAGTGCTCAACCCATTTCTTTTTTCTTTTATTTTACCATTTTTACATTTACTTACATGTGTATATACTGTTTGGGCCACCTCCCCTCTAATCCCACCTCCGCTTCCAGCCAGACCCTATTCCACTCTCCTCTCTAATTTTGTTGAAGAGAAAACACAGGAGGATAATCAGAAAGACACAGCTTTTTTTTAAGGTAAGAAACATGTTTGTATGCCACCTACGGTTCATTTTTCTGGCACAATTGTGTGCTGGTTAACAATTCAGTAGAAAGCACAAAAATTTATGAAAGACAGGACAGAATTCCTGGAACCTTAACATGTTCAGTATTATTAACAGTGATAATAAAAAAACCTAAGGCATTCAAAGGATATTATAATTTTAGTAATTGATTTGAATGTTAAAACTTGGTTAGGATCTCTTTTAGTATTAACTATTCTCTTTTTGTGTTCTGAGCACACTTTCTTCCCTCCCCAATAATCAAAACCTATCTTAGGCGTCTTTAAATTAAAAATTAAAAATTCACTATGTATGGAGTTGTCTAACTGAAAAGCAAGCTGATCACTATTTCAGTGTATTAAAACACATTAACTCCATAGAGACCACAGAATCATTATCACAGTTCTGAAAAATTTAACTGCCAGATTCCATATACTGAAAAAGAGAGTGCTTTACTCACTTTTAATCCAGCTGCATAGCCCACTGGTTGAGGAGCAATATTGGACTGTCCTGCTTCCCCTATAACCACAGCTAAGCCAAAGACTTCCTGAAAGGCATCTCGAACAGCAGCTACTTTGACTTCTTTATTTGAGGTCACTACAATATCCAGCTCACCTCCAGATTCTACAAGGACCAAAAGAAAATTTCAAATCCAAATTTAAATAGTAAAATTCTTATCACTACTGCCATACTATGTGTTAACATTTTATTTATATAAATATTATCAACTTCATAAGACAATACAAGATATTAATCATTATTTTTATATGGCTGAGGAAATAGGCTGACATAGTTTTGCCCAAGGCAACAGCTATCTTTCTCTTTTTTTTGGAGGTACTGGGGTTTGAACTCAGGGCCTCACACTTGCTAGGCAAGAGCTCTACCACCTGAGCCACTCCCCCCGCAAGGCAACAGCTCTTTAGTACTAACGTCAGGACTCCAATGTCAGTCCATCAGACTCTGAAGTCTTTTTTTGCCACACGATCTGATACGACCCAACACATTTTCACTCTCTAACCTAAGAGCATGTGATTCCAACATGTGCTCAGCTCCAACCTACCAACTTTTTCTCAGTTTTGGAACTGGGCGTTTAATCCATCATCTGAAGGAGTCTCAATTGCAGAAGATGGTACATACCTTCTAAAGGTTCTGACTATCATATCTGCCATAACCAGAGCACACGTTTTTCAGTATTCTATGAATGTTCCAGAATGTTTTAGCTCTAGGTGAAAAATAGTATTCTGTGGTCAAACAATTGCGAGAGATGCTACACACCATATTCCATCCTTAGAAATTCAGAGTGCACCTTAACATATCAAAGATTTGATTTTAACCCAGGTCTTTCCATATGTAATCTGTCCACTGAATACTTTTTCAGCATCTAATAATGGCTGCTAAAAGTGTTCCATAGATTTCAATTTGGGACAGATATGAATATAAGAACAGCTTATTTTTCTACTATACTACTCTATTAATTTAGCTAAGTTTCATCTTAGCTTAAACTTTGCATGGACACATTTATTGCACTTTAAAGATTATAAGTAAAAAGCTTTCTTGCTGTTGGTTAATAAAGACACAAACTCATTAAATGCCAAGTTCTAACACCACGTGGATGCCAGGTTCCAGCCCTTCAGCTATAAAGCAATCACAGAAATCAGACATCTGGCTTATGAAGTATAGTCACACATCTGGGATACTCAACAGAAAATGAAAATGAAGACTCTTGCTGATGACAAATAATCCATCAAAGAGTTGAACCAAAGTTATATATTGAACAAGAATTACCACCAGGAAATATACCTTTTAGATAGAAAATAATTTAAATGTGGGTCATCAATCTTTATTATACATCCTCATCATTAAAAAAAGAGCATACAGCACATTGATCTGTAAATATATGTACTACTGTTTTAGTATCTGAAAGGTAAAATAACATAAAATATGAAATTTTAAGTTTAACAGTATACTACATTTTACTTATTCATCAGTTCAAACATTTTTAACTTTTTATTTTTAAAATTTGTACACTATTGTTTCTAAGCCAAACAATTTGACAAAATTATTTTCGTTTTAAAAATATAAACCTAACATTTTATGACACAGACTGAGTATCCATCATCCAAAATGCTTGAAACTAGAAATGTTTAGGAGTTTAGATTTTGGAATATCTGCTTATACATAATGAGATGTGTTAGGGGTGGGACCCAAGTCAAAACACAAAATTCACTTCTGTACACACAGCCTGGAGGTAATTTCATAGAACATATTTAGTGCACCTGTGTTTTCACTGTGACCAGTCACATATGGTCAGGTGTGGAATTTCCCACATGTTGCATCATTTCAGTGCTCAAAAATTTTCAAAGTTTAAAGCATTCTGGATTTCACACTTTAGGATCGGCAATGTTCAGCCTGTATAGTGAACTCAAAGACCCGGTTGTAAGCACAGCATTTTCTGATATCTGCCATTAATGGCTCTCTCCAAAAAACAGAGTTCTCATGCAGCTGCTTATAATGTAAAATACTGAGCCCCAGATATAAGGCTTTTTTCCCTAACTATCTTAGGGAACATGTGAAGGTATTTTCCTTTCATTTGTTTTTACATGGATCCCTTTGTCCTGTTTAACACAAAGAGTATGTTTAACAGTCACACCCTTGCTGGGAATTTCAGCAGGTATCAGAGCCTGCAAAGGATAAGTCACAGCGGGGAAGAGGAAGACTGTGTGCTTTCTCAGTTTTAAATTCCATGTGGGACATATCTTGATCATAAGCTAAGAACTGTTCCTTTAAGCTACAGCTCAAAAAGGCTTTTCAGTTTGTCATGGCGGTTCTGCCTTTAATGATAATGGAGAACGAACTAAAGAACAAAGAAAACTTCATGTGAATGCAGTTAAAATCCATTTCCCATAGTTCTTATGACTCCTTGATATATCTGAAATTATTATATCAAGTGATTTCTGGAATATTTCTATAAAAATGCCATTTGTTTTCCTGAGTTTTATTAGATCAGATTAGTGTGGCTTTTGTTGTGTGGCATTAACTGTTTCATAATTATATTACTTTTTAAAGGTTAACAGTAGGATTATGTGTTATCATAAGTTATGATATGTGCTAACAGAACCTACATTCTTGTATCTTTATCACCTCCTTAAGTTTCTGCCTTTTACTTTTTTCTCGTTTCTTTTTTTTTTTTTTTTGAGATAAAGTCTCTCTAGATAGCCTGAGCAGCCCTCAAATTGCTGTTCCTCCTGCCTCTTCCTCCCAATTAGCTGGGATTACAGGCACATACCACCATGCCCAGCTATGCCTTTTTCTTGATGTTATGGAAACTACTGGCTTGAAAAACTGTCTTGTTCAAGAGTCCAGGCTTTATCATTTACTACCTTCATAACCATGAGGAAGACACTGCCTTTTTCTTTGTAAAAAATGCCTGCTATATTATAGGGCTTGCTCTAAGGCATGAATTAGCTGCTTTCACAGTGTGACATACTACAGCCATTAAAATAGCAATAACTCTAAAAATATTAATTTCTTTCCTTCATTCAAAATAAGTACTTAAGAATACATATGATGCATTACATATGGCAAACTGGATTATTATGACTACAAGATATCAAACATATAAGGTAAGAATCAAATTTCTGAATCTTTTGGACAGTCGCAAACATGAACAATTTAGCTGATTCAATTCTTAATCCAATTTTCTACTTCAAGGAAAACAAAATGGTTGAATCTAAAAAAATTCAACATGGGCTCAATCTAGCTCTACCTAGCAGTGTAACCTAAGATAGTAATTTACACCTCTTTTGAACCTAGGTTCTGATCCAAAACTTGAGGAAAATACCTATCTTGCTGAGCTCTGTGGCCTTAGGGCCTGACAGAACAATCACTCCACAAATGGTATTTAGTCACTAATCCGTCTTGTCCACAGACATGTGCTAGACAGCAAACTAGCAACTAGGTGAGATTCATGAAAACTTCTGGCTTCTTACTGCCTCTAACAGTCTGTTCAGGTACCTACCACCAAGCTTTAGCTTGCAAATGACTTCCTATAGGATTTCTGGTCACTGACCTAGGTAAGCACTGACACTTTTTCATATTGGATTTGCACATAAAATTAAACAGCACACAATATTTATATGTCAACTTTCTGGAGGATTCTCGGTAACGGGCTCAAAAGTGGTTGAAACAGTTTTTCCAATCAACCTAATAATCAGATACTATTAGTAACTATATTCATATTCTCTAAAATATTATTTCTGAGTTAAGCATAAATGCATTTAACTAAAATTGGTAACTGCAAAAATGCCAAAACCAAGTACAAAGTATCACTTTAAATGTCAACAGTGCATGAAGTAAAAAATTCATGCTAAGCTTACAATTAAAATCCGTAATGAGACTAATAATTCACACTGTTTTTACTCCTCCAAAGGTCATTTTGTGGAGTTCTCAAAACTTACTTCATGGTAATTAACAAAAAGATAAATTAATAACGCCAAAAACAAAGACTGACAGTCAATGCAAGATCACAAGAGGATTCCATGACCAGAGGAAGTGGCTGACACTGACGCCTACTTCAAACTCATCCAGCAGATACTGGTCTAGCTTATGTACATACTGATGTATGGAGCCATGCCAGGGTCCAGCGTTGTAATCATGCTTTCTACCGAATGCTTTGTCTTATCAAGCACAGATTTCACCATAGGATTCCCAGCCACACCCTGCATAAAACAAATTAATATATAAATGCATACGCTAAGCAAAGAACACCATGATCTTCAGCACTGTGAAGAAACGTTTTTTTAAAGTTTCCAATATATCGCAGACCAATACTTCTGAAAAATGTAAGAAAGACGAGGTCAGGGCAGTATCACATTGCTAAATGGTCCTCTCAATTTCTCTTCCCTTCACAGCACAGGCCCACAGAGCAGCAGCAGTGGCAGACCACACTTTGAGCAGCACTGGTCTGGAAAGGATGATACTCTGTGTATATGGTATTAATGTGTGTGCCATTTATAAGTATATTTTTATATATTCCACTTTTATTTATTTACTAATCTAAAACTTTAAGTGAACTGTTTCCCTCAGAACTACAAGCAGATATCTGTCAGGCCATACTTTGCTCCCTAAAAGATAAAAAAAAAAACAGTAACAAATACTTTTCATCCTTAGCCTTCATAACAGGTCTCCATTACCTCAACATCTAACATTTTGCTATGTTCTACTAAAGTTTCCTCTTTCTTATCTGATTCACTCCCAAACTCTCCCTTCCCAGCCCGACCTCCTCTGGATTCTTAGAATAACACTATTAGAGAGAGGAACCAGCTTGACAGCTCCTTCTTGCACCACACTTCTCCCACAGCAAAAAGGACCAAGGGAGGAGTGCCTTGCACAATGGTCCCCAAGCCCATGGTTTCCCGTGTACCAACCTCCCATAAACCAAGGGGATAAAAGGTGGCGAAATGAGTTGTGACTGAAATTAAAGACTGTCAGCCAGCCTGCCTCAGCTGAAAATCACGTGTTACTTCTACTGCAAGCACTGGAGAGTCTACCTGGGTATTATAAGTGCTACAACACGTGTGCTCTTAGTCTCTACATAAAGAACATTTTTAAAAGTACAAGGACATGAAAGAGCAAGCTTAGAAAAAATGTCATAGGCCTGAAACATGCAGCTCAAATAATGTAAAACAGTTAACCACTTAACAATTCAAAATGTTTAATATTTGCAATGAAATTGCAAATAAACCCTCAGCAGAATATTGGGAAGAACTTAGCAGAATGATCTCACAATTCACTGAGGCATGACCTCACCTTCTGTCTTATTACCCCATGCCCACCTTAGCAGAGTAGGCCCTTGGCACACATCAGTATAATAAATGGCCTGGACTTAAAACAATTAGCAGTATGCTACCATTGCAAAGACAGGCAGAGAGCAGAGGACAGAACACACGAGACCATAGCCCAATGGCGACAGTAAATAAGATACAGGAGGCACATCAGGTCACTGAGGACATGACACTGAGACAGTCCATTAAGTAGTTGGAAAATAATTAAGTTTGGTTTCTACCTTATATAATATAGTGAAGTATATCAGCTACATTAAACTGTAAAAAGTAAAATGATAAAAGAACTAGAGGATGATATGCAAAGAAACTGCTGAAAATTTTTGACAAAATTTTTGTCAAAAAATCATAATAAAATTAAAATGTAAATTATAGTGCTGAAGATGCATACGGTGAAACACTCTTACTATATTAACAGCTCCTACAAATTCATTACAAGAAGAAAATCATCCCAATTTAAAACTGGACAAGGAACATGAATAGAGAATTCACAGAAGAAAAATATAAATGGCTGAAAAATCTGGTGAAAATAATCTTCAAATTCAGGAGCACATTAAAATTAGGTTTTAAAAATGTTTTATCTATCAGACCAGAAAGTACTCTATCTCAAATCAGAAAATATTGCACTTCAAATAGCTAATGTTGTCATGAAAAATGTGATTACAGTATAGTTTAGTATTACTTTACTAAAAAGCAGTAGGCATCAATAATTTAAAAATGTTCACTTATGCTTATCAGAAATTAATCCTGGTGAACCAGAGATGCCTATAAAGACTTACATACAAGAGTACGCATCACGGTTTTACACAACATGGTGCATGGTTAATGACGATATTACTGAAAATTGCTGAGAACAGATCTCAAGTTTTCTCACCACAAAGAAATGTAAGTAGGTGAGGTTATGCATATGTTAATTAGCTCAATTTAGTTATTCCACACTGTGTACATATTTTAAGCCATGGTGCACACAATAAATCTATACAATTTTTTCTTCTTGATTAAAATAAAGCTTTAAAAATTACTATTAGAAAATAAGCAAAACTTATAGTTAGAAGAATGCCAACAGCAGATTAGTAAAATAAAGCACGGGTAATACATGCAACAATATCTGTGGTGAAGTAGCCATTAAAAATGCATTTCTAAGGAGTATTACGTGGCTGGGAAGATGTTTGTGAGATCTGCTGGGTAATGAACAAAATAACAACACTCACACGACCATTCCAGCTTGGCTTCTACCAGAAGAACAGGTACAGCTGCATGGCTACACAGATAGAATGAGAGCAACTGCATAAAACTCGTAATAAAACTAAAAAGGATTATTCTTTCCCCGTGCCATTATGTATTTTCAAAATTATCTCCAGTGAAAACCTATCAACTTTATAATTAGAAAATTAAATATTTAAAAGTAAATATCCCTTACCTTAATAAAACCCCAGATCCCACCAGCAGACTCGTCATCCTGGCTTCTGTGAATTCTGGGATCTTCTTGTTCCTCTGGGAAAGTAATGGCTGATGTGGTTCCAGCTCCCTGTGCCAGAGGAGTCAGGCTGGCTTGCTGAGTAATAGGAGGTGGCAAAATACCTAGTCAATGGCAAAAATTTTAATATGTATAATTTATTCCACAAGCTTTCCTATTTTAAAAAGACACAGCATAAGAGAATGGCTAAAACAACTTTCAATACACACAAGCATTTCAAAATAGAGTTATGAACTCAGGGAATCACTCAAACCCTTAAAATTACAAATTAAACAGAATTCATGTTTTCCCTGTGCAGCACCTGGATGTGTTCTAATCTTCTTAATCCATAAAACTAACTGAGCACCCAAGCAAACAAGACTCACCACATATACTCCACATAAACTCCCATCTACAAAGATCAGGTATAATACTTATACTCAGCAAAAACTTTATTTGTAAAGTAGATAAGCAAAGTTGGACAATAAAACATCTCAACAAAGTTCCTTCTTTTCCCTAAGATGAGAAAAACAGGCAGAAGATCAAAAGCAGTTTTGATAACTGATTTCCAAAACCCACAACAGAGAAGGTAGAAGAAGAAAAAAAAAAAAGACACGGCTAGCCTAAGAAAGGAAGTAAATCAGTGCCACCCAACTTTGGCACACATAGGCTTTTATCTGGCCTTGGATTTTCACCTGGCTAAATAAAAACTCTGCCCTGGACAGGTCAGTGCCCATCATTTTTAAAGTAAAGCTATAAAACTCTCAGACTTCAATGTGATGTTTCTCTGAAAGTGCACAAATATTAGGACAGATTCTGGAATGTTTTCTGACATCTAACATAAAAAACTGACAAGTGTATCAGCTTTATTTTTAATAATTTAAATGGCAAGAATGAGAACAGGAAAATGGAAACTGAAGAAATTAGTTAAGAACAGAACATTAATGCAGGGAAACTAGACCCCACATGCTACTAAGAAAGTAGGATGGCATGATGCTTTAGAAAACTACTTGGCAGAGGATTCCAAGATGGCAGCTAGAGGGAGGAAAAAGAAAGCATGCCTCCTAAAGTAAAATCTTGGAGAGACGCTGGAGATACACCTTGCAGGAAAAAACACCAAGAAGAGGCAAAACTTTGACTCCTCCACACCTTCAGCCTGCGCACAGCATCCCCACTTCATGTTAAATGAAGAAACCAGGAGAGCCCCGGGGCCACCGCCAGACACCTGCACCCAGACGGCTTGGGAAGACGCAGACCACAAGGTAAGCTAAGTGGTACACGGTACTCCCACAGACAACCCTGGGCCAGATCAGCATAGCCCCCTGGACAGACAAACTCCCACCCAGGGAAAAAAGAGAATCTGAATAATAAGCAGTAACAATAGAAAAGACACATAGCAAAGAGGGTGGGACACCCTGAGTGCCGAAGAGGGGGGAGGGGGAATCCCTTACAACAAGCAGGAGCAGGAAACCTTGTAAAAGTGGCGGTGGGAGGAAAACTCCACAGGAGAGGGAGGAAGGCCCACTTCCCATGTGAACTGTAAATAAACACACAGGCCTGAGAAAGCGGGTGCAGTGTCACCCCCCCACAGTATGCTTGGAAAGGGGAAAGCTTGTAGCAGTGCCTCACGCACAGGAGAACTCTAAGTAAAAAAAGCCTGAGAGGCCAGGTGAGTGTTAAGTTCACTCCTGAGATCTGCATAAATAAAGCCTCCAGCAAAAACAGGCTGACAGCAGCGGGCAGGTGAGCCACAGCCTCAGATAGACAATCACAGAACTGTCTCCAGACTCTATTTTTTCTCCCTTCCTCTGATGAGACAACAACCGAACTACACCTGCATGCTGAAAAACTTACTGAAACTGTATTGCATTTGAACCTGGGACACTTTGTGGTGTTTTTTTTGTTTTGTGTTGTTTTGTTTTTAGTTTTTTTGCCCTTTGATGAGACAACAGAATTACTTCTGAGACACCATCTCCAGGATTGGAGGCTGAGGGACTAACACCAAAATTGTTACGACTGAACCTTTATTGCATTTGAACTTGGAGATCTTATTTTCATTTTTTTTTTTCAATCCTCTCTCTGTCTCTCTAATGCCTGTTCAGCTTACTGTTGCTTAGTACACTATCTCTCCCTGTTTATATCTTTGAAACTTTTTTTTGTTTTTTTCTACTAGTTTCCTTATTTGTTTTTCCCTTTTTCTTTAATTTCTTTCCTTTCCATCTCCTCTAACGCTTCCATTCTAAATATCACCATTGTTATTACAAACTAGAAAATACTTAATTGCACACAGTACAGGGACAATAACAACACCAAGGGCAATGACAGGAAGACAGAAAAAACAGGGAAACCAGTTTCCACACAACTAAAAATTAGTACAGGAAGCAGAGGGAAATGAAGAAAACAAATACTCAGATCCAGACTCCAACAAAATGAAGATAAACTATGCCAAAGAACACAATGAAGCCCACAAGAACAATCTAAAAGAAGAAATACTACAGGTAATCAATGAGAATTTTATAGAGATGATACTGGATATGGTCAACCAAAATGTACAGGAGACACTCAAGAAATTCCAAGGCAACAAAAACAGAGAATTTGAAAAAGCACAGGAAGAAATAAAAGAAACTATAGAAGCACTGTATAAACACCAAAGTGAACCAAAGAACACAATTAATAAAGAGATAAATGAACTCAGGACAAAAATAAACAACATTAAAGAAGAAATGACTCACGATATGGAAACCCTCAGAAAAAAGAACAAAGCAGAACTGCAAAACAAAACGGAAGGCCAATCCAGAAGAATACAACAAACAGAAGACAGAATCTCAGAACTCGAAGATGAAATGGTAATTAAAGGAAAAACTGAAGAACTATTAGTTAAACAACTCAAGACCTGTGAAAAGAAAATGCAAGAACTCACCGACTCCATCAAAAGACCAAACCTGAGAATCATGGGCATTAAAGAAGGAGAAGAGGTGCAAGCGAAGAAAATGTGTAATATATTCAACAAAATAATAACAGAAAATTTCCCAAATCTAGAGAAATCTTTTCCCATAGAGATGCAAGAGGCCTCCACAACACCAAACAGACCAGATCAAAATAGAACTACTCCACGACCAATCATCATTAAAACAAGTTCAGAAACTAGGGAAAGAATATTGAAGGCATAAGAGAGAAAAAACAAATAACATACAAAGGTAAACCCATAAAATCACAGCAGACTTCTCAACAGAAACATTAAAAGCAAGAAGAGCGTGGGGTGAGATCTTCTGGTCACTGAATGAAAATAACTTCAACCCCAGGATACTCTACCCAGCAAAACTATCATTCAACATAGATGGAGCAATAAAAGTCTTCCATGATAAGCAGAAACTAAAACAATATGTGACCCACAAAGCCACCACTATAAAAAATTCTCCAAGGGATTTGGTACACAGAAAGTGAAACCCAACATAACCATTAAAGGGCAGGCAGCACCAACTACAGGAAAAGAAAAAGCAAGAAAATAGAGTGTAACCTCAACTTAGGTACACACAATCAAACCTTCAAACAACTAAGACAACTAAATGACTGGAATTACCACATACTGATCACTACTAACACTTAATGTTAATGGACTTAATTTCCCCATCAAAAGGCACCGTTTGACGAAATGGATTAAAAAGGAAGATCCAACAATTTGTTGCTTACCAGAGACCCATCTCACGGACAGAAATAACATAGGCTTAGGATGAAAGGCTCCAAGCCAATGGTCCACGAAAACAGGCAAGAATAGCAATACTTATATCTGACAAAGTAGACTTCAAACCTACATTGATCAAACGACATAAAGAAGGACATTCCATACTAATAAAAGGGGAAATAGGCCAAAAGGAAATAACAATTATCAACCTGCATGCACCCAATGTCAATGCACCCAATTTCATCAAACATACCCCAAAAGCCCTAAAAGCATATAGTAACTCCAACACAGTGCTTGTGGGAGACTTTAACACCCCACTATCATCAATAGATAGGTCATCCAATCAAAAATTCAATAAAGAAAACCTAGATCTAAAATATACAATAGATCAAATGGACCTACTTGATGTCTACAGAACATTTCATCCAACTTCTACACAATATACGTTCTTCTCAGTAGCCCAAGGAACCTTCTCCAAAATAGATCTTATCCTAGGGCACAAAGCAAGTCTCAGCAAATATGAGAAAACAGAAATTATACCATGCATACTATCTGATCACAATGCAGTAAGAGTAGAACTCAACAACAAAAGTAAAGACAAAAAACATGCAAACAGCTGGAAACTGAGTAACTCATTGCTTAATGAACAATGGGTCATCGGTGAAATAAAAGAGGAAATTAAAAGGTTCCTGGAAGTCAATGAAAATGAAAACACAACCTACTGGAACCTATGGGACACAGCAACGGCAGTCCTGAGAGGAAAGTTTATAGCCATGAGTGCCTATATTAAAAAGATTGAAAGATCCCAAATCTATGACCTAATGATACATCTCAAACTCCTAGAAAAACAAGAACAAGCAAATCCCAACACAAATAGAAGGAGAGAAACAATAAAAATATGAGCTGAAATCAATGAAATAGAAAACAAAAAAAAAATACAATGAATTAATGAAACACAAAGTTAGTTCTTTGAACAAATAAACAAGATCGACAGAACCCTAGCAAACCTGACTAAAATGAGGAGAGAAAAAACCCAAATTAGTAGAATCAGGAAAGCAAAAGGGGAGATAACAACAAACACCATGGAAGTCCAGGAAATCATCAGAGACTACTTTGAGAACCTATATTCAAATAAATTTGAAAATCTTAAAGAAATGGACAGATTTCTAGGTACATATGATCATCCAAAAGTGAGCCAAGAGGATATTAATCACCTGAATAGACCTATAACACAAAATGAAATTGAAGCAGCAATCAAGAGTCTCCCCAAAAAGAAAAGTCCAGGACCTGATGGATTCTCTGCTAAATTCTATCAGACCTTTAAAAAAGAACTGACACCAACCCTCCTTATACTGTTCCACAAATAGAAAGGGAAGGAAAACTGTCTAACACATTTTATGAAGCCAGTATTACACTTATCCCAAAACCAGGCAAAGACACCTCCAATAAGGAGAACTGTAGGCCAATCTCCTTAATGAACATTGATGCAAAAATCCTCAACAAAGTAATGGCAAACCAAATTTAACAACACATCAAAAAGATCATTCACCACAACCAAGTAGGCTTCATCCCAGGGATGCAGGGGTGGTTCAACATACGAAAATCAATAAACGTAACAACCACATTAACAGAAGCAAAGACAAAAACCACTTGATCATCTCAATAGATGCAGAAAAAGCCTTTGATAAGATCCAACACCATTTCATGATAAAAGCTCTAAGAAAACTAGGAATAGAAGGAAAGTACCTCAACATTATAAAAGCTATATATGACAAACCTACAGCCAGCATTATACTTAATGGAGAAAAACTGAAACCATTCCCTCTAAAATCAGGAACCAGACAAGGATGCCCACTATCTCCAGTCCTATTCAATATAGTACTGGAATTCCTAGTCAGAGCAATTAGGCAAGAAGAAGGAATAAAAGGAATACAAATAGGTAAAGAAACTGTCAAAATATCCCTATTTGCAGATGACATGATCCTATACCTTAAAGACCCAAAAAAGTCTACTCAGAAGCTTCTAAACATCATCAATAGCTATAGCAAGGTAGCAGGATATAAAATCAACATAGAAAAATCATTAGCATTTCTATACACTAACTAAGAAAGAATATATGAACAAACTGAAAAAGAATATATGAAAACAATTCCACTTACAATAGCCTCAAAAAAAATCAAATACCTAGGTGTAAACCTAACAAAAGATGTGAACGACCTCTACAAGGAAAACTATAAACTTCTGAAGAAAGAGATTGAGGAAGACTATAGAAAGTGGAGAGATCTCCCATGCTCATGGATTGGTAGAATCAACATAGTAAAAATGTCTATACTCCCAAAAGTAATCTACATGTTTAATGCAATTCCCATCAAAATTCCAATGACATTCATTAAAGAGATTGAAAAATCTACTGTTAAATTTATATGGAAACACAAGAGGCCACGAAATAGCCAAGGCAATACTCAGTCAAAAGAACAATGCAGGAGGTATCACAATACCTGACTTCAAACTATATTACAAAGCAATAACAATAAAAACAGCATGGTACTGGCACAAAAACAGACATGAAGACCAGTGGAACAGAATAGAGGACCCAGATATGAAGCCACACAACATAACCAACTTGTCTTTGACAAAGGGCTAAAAATATGATGGAGAAAAGACAGCCTCTTCAACAAAAACTGCTGGGAAAACTGGTTAGCAGTCTGCAAAAAACTGAAACTAGATCCATGTATATCACCTATACCAATATTAACTCAAAATGGATCAAGGATCTTAATATCAGACCCAAACTCTAAAGTTGGTACAGGAAAGAGTAGGAAATACTCTGGAGTTAGTAGGTATAGGTAAGAACTTTCTCAATGGAACCCCAGCAGCACAGCAACTAAGAGATAGCATAGATAAATGGGACTCATAAAACTAAAAAGCTTCTGTTCAACAAAGAAATGGTCTCTAAACTGAAAAGAACACCCACAGAGTGGGAGAAAATATTTGCCAGCTACACATCAGACAAAGGACTGATAACCAGAATATATAGGGAACTTAAAAAACTAAATTCTCCCGTAATTAATGAACCAATAAAGAAATGGGCAAGTGAACTAAACAGAACTTTCTCAAAAGAAATTCAAATGGCCAAAAAACACATGAAAAAATGCTCACCATCTCTAGCAATAAAGGAAATGCAAATTAAAACCACACTAAGATTCCACCTCACCCCTGTTAGAATAGCCATCATCAGCAACACCACCACCAACAGGTGTTGGCGAGGATGTGGGGAAAAAGGAACCCTCTTACACTGTTGGTGGGAATGTAAACTAGTACAACCACTCTGGAAAAAAATTTGGAGGCTACTTAAAAAGCTAAACATTGATCTACCATTTGATCCAGCAATACCACTCTTGGGGATATACCCAAAAGACTGTGACACAGGTTACTCCAGAGGCACCTGCACACCCATGTTTATTGTGGCACTATTCACAATAGCCAAGTTATGGAAACAGCCAAGATGCCCCCCTACTGATGAATGGATCAAGAAAATGAGGTATCTATACACAATGGAATTTTATGCAGCTATGAAGAACAAAATGTTATCATTTGCTAGTAAATGGATGGAATTGGAGAACATCATTCTGAGTGAGGGTAGCCTGGCCCAAAAGACCAAAAATCGTATGTTCTCCCTCATATGTGGACATTAGATCAAGGGCAAACACAACAAGGGGATTGAACTTTGATCACAAGATAAAAGCGAGAGCACACAAGAGAGGGGTGAGGATAGGTAAGACACCTAAAAAACTAGATAGCATTTCTTGCCCTCAACGCAGAGAAACTATAGCAGATACTTTAATACAACTGTGGCCAATAGGAGAAGGGGACGAGGAACTAGAGAAAAGGTTAGATCAGAAAGAATTAACCTAGAAGGTAACACACATGCACAGGAAATCAGTGTGAGTCAACTCCCTGTATAGCTATCCTTATCTCAACTAGCAAAAACCCTTGTTCCTTCCTATTAATGCTATACTCTCTCTTCAACAAAATTAGAGATAAGGGCAAAATAGTTTCTGCTAGGTAGTGAGGAGGTGGAGGGGGCGGAAGGCGGGGGAAGCAGGGAGAAATGACCCAAACATTGTATGCAAATATGAATAAAAAAAGAAAAAAGAAAAGAAAACAATTTGGCAGTTTTTCAAAGGGTAAAACACAGAGCTGCTGTGTAAGTCACCAACTCCATGGACAGGTATATATCCAAAAGAAATGAAAACATCCACACAAAAACTTTCATATGAAAATTCATAGTATTATCCAAATAGGCAGAAGGTGGAGATGATCTAACATCAACTGGTGAGCTGAATAAGCAAAATGTGATATAATAACAGACCGGAATATTATTTGGCCATGAAAAGGTATGTACTGACACAAGCCACACTGATAAACCTTGAAAATATTTGAAGCAAAATTGATACCAGTCACAAAAGACCATGTATTATGATTCTATGAAATGCTTAAAATAAATCTGTAAAGACAGAAGGAAAATTAACTGGTTTCCTTGGGCTGTGAGGATTGTACAGAAAGTGGGGAGTGATTACTAATAGATATAGGGTTTCTTTTCGAGGTGATGAAAGGTTACAAAACTGATTAGAGCAATGGATGCACAACTGTGTCAATAAACTAAAACTACTGAACTGTACACTTTAAGCTGGTGAGTTGAATCTTACGTGAATTATGGCTCAATAAAGCTGTAAATTTAAAAAGTAATAGTAAAACATTAACTACAACCATGTATTTCACTGCATGAATAAGACAGAATTACCTGTCACTGGAGGTGCAGAAAATGAAGGCATCAGAGGTGTCTGGGGAGCTCTTCCTGCATGTCCCCTTGTAATGTCATAAGTTGTGCCCACAGAAAATCCTGATATCGGAGGGCCCAAAGAGGGTGGAGAGGAAAGAGGGCCTGGGGCAGAAGTCGAAGGCGTGAAATGGGATAAAGGAGGAGCACTGAAGGTAGTGGCAGCTGGCTGGGAGGCAGGTGGAGGTAGAGAAGTCCCAAGAGGTGGGCCAGGAGGAGCTGGGGACTGGGGCATGAAAGGCAGTGGGGCTGAAGGCTGCACAGGAGGCAGGGCTGGCTGAGGGGCAGGATGCACGTGAGGCAGCAAGGACTCCACAGTGGACACGCTTGGAGACGAGAACGAACTGGCTGCAGCTAGAAAAAAGTGAAGAGGACAAAAACACAAAATTAGAAGTGTCTTTCATTTAGTTTCCAAATCTCTGTCTTCTTGCATAATTTTTAATTTAACAGACCATATCCCAAGAAGTATTTTAAAATGTGTAATTCAAAATACACACCAAATGATTAAGCGCAAATGACTTTCAAGTGAAAGAAGCAGCAAGATGGCATTGAATTCATAAGTTAATCTTCCTTTTTTTGATTCCTTTGTTATGGTGTGTGTTTAAGAAAGCAAAAGCTATTTTTCATCCAAGGTTTGAGCATAAAAACCTATGCACTGAAAGCTTAAAAAGATTCATCACCACAAAGTCACAGGACATCTGATAAAGATAACACATGCTTTTAAGGATATTTTTGTCACTGTTAAGAAAGAAAACTTAGAGTCAATATGAATATAAACAACAAGTCTGTCTAAAGCAAAACATTGATGTTTTCTTACTTTCAAGAAGCAAGACTATTTCTTTGTATTCTTGAAATAAAAAAAATGCAATTTCCCTCCATCCTGACAAAGATTAGTAAAGTGTTAACGTAAGTATCCTTCCTTTAATTGTTTTGGAAAAGGTAGGTCTCTTCACTATCCTCACACACTCGGCGTCCAATGCCACATATACCTAAAGGAACTGGGGAGGACATGGCAGCAGTAGCCAGGCTCGTGGGATTCAGTGGAGGCGTCCCAGGTGGCGTTGTCTCTATTCCACTCTCTTCCATC